TCATAAACAAACCCTAGAATTTGTTTTGAAAATTAAAATATATAAGCCAATCGCTTTAGTAAAATTAAAGTTGACTTTATCCTGAAATTGCTTTCTATACATGTTTGGTTTTTTTATATGTAGTTTTAAATATTTTTTTTTATTATTTAAATATTTTTGTTGTTTTATAATTCCTTTAGTTGCTTAAGTAACATGCATTTTCATTTCTTTGTAATAATTTTTTTTATAATAGAATTTAAATTATGTAATTGTTGTGTTGTATTTGTGTGTGTTTTCTTCTAATATTCTGCAATTTAGCTTTGTCTAATTTCCTTATTACTTTTCTTTTGTAATTTTAATAAGGAATTCACAGCCTTTTAGCATACGTTATATTCCTTCCTATAGATTTTTGTATTGTTTTTATTTATTTATTTTTTTTTTTCATAAATTACACATTTATTTATTTTTAACAATCTACATTAAGCTTGTTTTATATACTTTGTATCTACTAAATTGTAATACGAGTATAATATTAATAATAATATAAATTTCGTTTATTTTTTTTTATAAAATTATTTATGTTTTGTTTTTTAAATACTTTAGAAAAAAAAACATGCTTTTTAATGTATTTGTTTGGTTTTTCTGTATATATGTACTACATACGTTTATTTTAATCATCACTCGGTATGTATTGATTTATGTTTAAATTTTAGCCTTTAATATTTAATTTTTAAAATTCTTTTATTTGTTTTTTTTATTTTCTTTTTGTTTTTCTGCATTTATGAAAGCTAACAATGTGGACGGACAAAAATAATTATGATTTTTTTTTTTTACTTTTAAAAATTCTTCTGCAAGTTTTATGTTTTTTTTTTTTCTTGTTTATATCTATTTAGAATTTAGGTAATTTTGAGTTTTTAAGTCTATGAAATTTTGATAAATTGATTTGTAATACAAAAGTAAATGATAAGATACTAAGACTATATTGAAGAGATAATATTAAAATCCTTTTAGCCAATTTCAAGAGGATATTTCATACATTAAGTATTAAAGATGATTTTTTGTTACCTATTTTAAACTTTAATTCAACTCTTTTTCTAATTCGAATTATTAATTACAACCGATTAATAATCGGTTAATAGATTAAAATTACAATTTAATGTTTTTCATTAATTTTACTACTTTTTACAACTTTTTCCTTCTTAAAGTACTTATTTAGACAATGGACTAGTTCAAAGAGTAGTCCATTGTAAAATAAAGTAATCCGTAAACTAGTTATCAGACTAGACCACAGATTATACATTAAACTAGTTCCTATAGATTAGTCAATAAACTAGTACCTATTCTAGTCAAAAGAATAGTGAACATACTGGTCCATAAACTACTTAGTTCATACGCTATTCCATAGACAGTCGAATACTCAATACACTAGTCCATAGACTATTCACTGGACTAGACAATAGAGTAGATTATAAGCTAGGCACTATAATAGTCAACAGACTGAAGACTGTTCCATAAACTAGCTCATAGGCTATTCACTAGACTATTCAATAGATTAGCCAATAGACTAGTCCATAGACTAGTCAACAGACTTTTCCATAGACTAGCCACTAGATTAATAGATTCGTCCATAGAATATATAACACACTAGTACATAGACTATCCACTAGATTAATCAATAGACTAGTCAATGAAACTAATGAAAAGATTAGTACAGCAACTTAACTACTTAACAGACTAGTTCATAGACATGTCAATGGACTAATCAACAGACTGAACTAGTCCATAGACTAATCAATACACTAACTAATGAAACGATTTAAACATCAACTTAACTACTGAACAGGCTAGTTCATAGACATGTCAATGGACTAATCAACAGATTCGACCATTAACTAGTCCATAGACTAATCAATACACTAGAACATAGAATGCTCCATAGATTAGTCCATAAACTAGTAAATAGACTAGTTTACTGAAGTAAACAGGACCATAGACTAGTCTACAGACGAGTCCATAAACTAGTCTGGTATACCACCAGTCAATATACTAATTCTAAACTGGCCAATATACTATTCACTAGACTATCCGCTAGATTAATCAATAGACTATAATATAGACTAGCCACTAGATTAATCAATAGACTAGATCATATACTTTTACAAACTACTACATAGACTAGTCCATAATCTAGTAAATATACTAGTCCATAGACTAATCTGTAGAAATTAGTAAGCAAGACCATAGACTAGTCTATAGACGAGTCCATAAATTAGTCTATGGATTAAGATACCTGTCAATATACTAATTTTCATTATTACACGGATTTGTTAATACATTTTCAGAACTGCAGAACTCTTAGAATGTACTATTTAAACATTTCAATGTTCCATCCATGAACACTAACATGAATAAATAATTTTAAATGCATATTTTTAGGAGTTCATATAAAAAGAGGAACAATTGTTAAAAAGCGTATGTATTAGTTCCACAAGTTGTGGAAATTATTCTTTCATTCATAAATACATTTTTTCGGCAATGAGTTTAGGAGCTTCTTTCACCTTTATTGTTTGAAATAGTCACCTTCAGAATTACTACTTTCTACATGGTTGCAGAAAAGTTTAAACAAGGACCAGTTATACACAATTTCCATTTGTATTTCCGAATTTTCTTCGAATTTTGTTTATACTTTAGTTGAGAACATCAGTCATTTCTGTTAGCCAGAGTTAGAAGTCTCTACCCCATCGCATTCAAGATTTTTTCAAGCGTGTTGTGTGAAAAATTGAGTCAACGAAATACTCGAAGCACATCAGTGTGGTTTTAGACCTCATCAGACCTATTTAACACTGAACACGGTTTCAGATAATGGGTTAGTTTATCGCTTTAAACGTACTATTGGAAAAATAATTATGCGATGTTGCGATTACTGGTATAAGTAAAATTTACCACCAGAAACCATATGATTCTCGAATATTGCAAGAGATTACGGGAATTTAGAAGGAATGAGTGAAAGTGGGTCTGGCAGTGAAAGAGGTTAAGACAAAGTTAATGGTTTCGACAATGATGATTATAACTTCATCTTATTAGAAACATTTATATACCTCAGTACCGCCATAACTAAGACTTATGAATTCATGTTTGAAGATAAAGCGAAGAGTAATACTCCCAATTAAATGTTACTTCAGACTTAGCAAAGCAATTTAGAAAGAGAGCCTTTCTCGACAGACAAAACTAATGCATTACATAATCCTAACCATAAGCATGGGTACTTGTATAGGCAAATGAAACTGTTCTTGGCATCTTTGAGAGGTAAATACTTCGAAAGCTATATGGAACTATCCGCTTTTATGGAACCAAGAACTATATGATGACGTGAAGAATGTGAAACGTATCAAACTTTAATGATAACGATGGCTCGGGCAAGTTGAGCGACGGTCGCGTATAGCGGATTTTTGAGAGGAAAATACTTCGAAAGATATATGGAACTGTTCGCGTTTATGGAGAATACCGGCATCATATGATGACGAGAACAATGTGAAACGTATCAAACTTTCATGATAACGATGGCTCGGGAAAGTTGAGCGACGGACGCGGAAGGCGGCGACTACATCTTCGGTGAAAAAATGTAAGTGAAATAATATAAGTTATTAAAATATTTGTCAATAAAGAAGAAGAAGAAGTATAACCGAACATGCACCAATGTTAGGAACAATTATATCCGGTAAAATGAGTACCTCTATCAGTGTTATATATTTAAACTGTCCTTGGCATCTTTGAGAAGAAAATACTCCGAAAGATATATGGAACTGTCTGTGTTTTTTGGAGAATACCAGCACCATATGTACCATGAACTATATGTTGATGTGAACAATGAGAAACGTATCAAACTATAATGATAACGATGTCCCGGGCAAGTGGCGGTGACTACACCTTCGGTGAAATAATCTAAGTTATTATAATATTTGTCAATAATGAAGAAGAAGTACAGTTAAATTTGACTTTTTGACACATTTAGTACCTTTCATAGTCGATTACGAAAAAATGTTACTTTATTTTCAAATAGATAAAATCGAAAAAAAATCATCTTTAATACTTAAGCTTTTTCTACACAAAACTGTTTGATACAAACTCGCTATCTGTTAACTTTCATAATTCGTCTTCTATTGATTAAAAGTAAAATAAAAAAATTAATTTTTTGTTGATAATAAATAGGATTCATATTAATGTTTAACAACTAATAGAAAGAGTAATTTCTAAAATTTTAATAATTTTATAGTATAAGATTAAAAAGATGGCAAAAAAGTTGAAATTTTGTTTCTAGGGATTTTTCTTTTTTTAGGGTTTTTACTTACTAACGACTAAGATTTTTTTTATTTAAATTTTCTTTTAGAGTAAAGTGTTAAAAGCATAAATAGTAAAATGTTTTTTAAACATTTATATATTTTCTGTTTGGTTGTTTGTTTTCATATACATATATATATGTATGTATTTAAGTATAATAATTATTACATATACATTAATGTATGCATGTAGGTAAGTATATAAGGGGTGTATATAAAAATTATATAAATATTTTTTGTTTATTTTGATTATAGGGAAATTGTTTTTTTTTTTTTTTTTTTTTTTTGTTTTCAATAGTGTTTTTTGTAATTAAACGAAAAAAAGGCTTTAAAATTTTCGTTACTAGCATTATATGTGTTTTTTTATAAATATTTTCTTAAATATATACAACAAGTTTGTTATCAGTTTAAATTTGGTTATTTTTCCATTTTTTAAATAGATTAAATTGTTTTAATGAATATGAAGGCTTTCAGTTTTATATTAATAAAATCTCTAAATATTTGTTGTTTTATTTTGGTAGTTTTTATATTAATTTTAAATGTATAATTAATAATTTAAAATGATTTTCCGCTTTTTTTAATACAATTTCAATAATTTTATTTTTTGTTTAATTTTAAATTCATTGAAATTTTAAATATAGTAAAAGTTAGTTTTCTTTTGTTTTGCTCTTAAATATAAATTAATAAATGGTAGTAAAAAGTGCACATATTACATAAACATTTTTCTTGTTGTTGTTATTATTTTGTTTATATAATGTTTATATATATAAATAGAAGAAAAAAGATCTATCTAATACATATTCATTCATACTAAATATTTTATATTTTAAAAAAAGTGTTTATAACTTTTAAAAAGGTCTTACTTCTCAATTTGTTTTTGTTTTTTTACTTTTCATACTTAAAATATAAAAAAAAAAACAAATAAAAATAAATAATGCTTGAAGTTTAATTTAAATAGTTATTAATTATATACGTAATTACAATAGTAATGATAACAATTTGAATATTTCTCTTCTGTTCTGTTCGGTTCTTTTGTTAAATTGTAATAGTAGTAATTATTAAATAGTAATAATATATATTTAGTAATGTGTATGTTTTTTTACTTTTGAATAGTAGTTAATAATAATAGTAAGTAATAGTTTCACTCATTTCATTGAAGTAAAGCTTTCTTTTTGAAATAATTTAAAAAAAAATTTCAATTTCAATAATAAATTTGAAATTTATTTAGCTAAATATTACATATTTATAGTAGAAGTAGTAGTAATAGTGGTAGTAGAAAAACTAGGAAGAGGATGTTTTTTTTTTTGTGGCTAGGAATAAATTCAAGGTAAATTTATAATCTATATAACTAGTACATTTATATATGTATGTATGTATTTGTAGTGTATGTATGTTTAATAATGTAATTTACAATTTTTGTTTTTATTATTTATAAAGTATTTTATATTTAAATAAAATAGTTTTAGTTTAAATCATGATTGTTGTTTGTAACAATGTCATTGCTGACAAGCTCGTTAGAGTCTTTATGAATTGTATCACTAAAAATATAAAAATTACAATTACTTTTAATTCATTAAACAAGTCTGTGTTATGTATACCCACCTCTTTTCGATTGGGCAAACAATTTCCGGTTGTCCTTGATACTGCAAGTTTTGAAGGTATTCCTCCCTGCGTTGGTGCACCAGCTTCTCTTTTTCGGCTCGTTCTCTCTGAAGTCTGTAGTTAAAATAAGTAAGAAAATATTTGTTTTAATAATTTTAAATATTAATATTTATAAAAAAAACATTAAACTTAAAACAAACCAAGAAAAAACAACTTAAAAGTTTTTGTTTTGTTTAAAATTGTTCTCTCTTACCAAAGTTGTTAAATTTCCATCCCAAATGCTAGTCATGGAATAATTACAATAGTCAGATTTGTTAATATTTATAGCGTAAGATTGAATGTTAAAATTTAGGAAATTTCTAATTTGGAAATGTTGTAAAGCAGAAATAACCACATAATGCAGTCTATAGTATAGTCTATAGTATGGTCTATAGTATAGTCTATAGTCTAGTCTATAGTATAGTCTATAGTCTAGTCTATATAGTCTAGTCTATATAGTCTAGTCTATATAGTCTAGTCTATATAGTCTAGTCTATATAGTCTAGTCTATAGTCTGGTCTGTAGTCTAGCCTATAGTCTAGTCTATAGTCTAGTCTATAGTCTAGTCTATAGTCTAGTCTATAGTCTAGTCTATAGTCTAGTCTATAGTCTAGTCTATAGTCTAGTCTATAGTCTAGTCTATAGTCTAGTCTATAGTCTAGTCTATAGTCTAGTCTATAGTCTAGTCTATAGTCTAGTCTATAGTCTAGTCTATAGTCTAGTCTATAGTCTAGTCTATAGTCTAGTCTATAGTCTAGTCTATAGTCTAGTCTATAGTCTAGTCTATAGTCTAGTCTATAGTCTAGTCTATAGTCTAGTCTATAGTCTAGTCTATAGTCTAGTCTATAGTCTAGTCTATAGTCTAGTCTATAGTCTAGTCTATAGTCTAGTCTATAGTCTAGTCTATAGTCTAGTCTATAGTCTAGTCTATAGTCTAGTCTATAGTCTAGTCTATAGTCTAGTCTATAGTCTAGTCTATAGTCTAGTCTATAGTCTAGTCTATAGTCTAGTCTATAGTCTAGTCTATAGTCTAGTCTATAGTCTAGTCTATAGTCTAGTCTATAGTCTAGTCTATAGTCTAGTCTATAGTCTAGTCTATAGTCTAGTCTATAGTCTAGTCTATAGTCTAGTCTATAGTCTAGTCTATAGTCTAGTCTATAGTCTAGTCTATAGTCTAGTCTATAGTCTAGTCTATAGTCTAGTCTATAGTCTAGTCTATAGTCTAGTCTATAGTCTAGTCTATAGTCTAGTCTATAGTCTAGTCTATAGTCTAGTCTATAGTCTAGTCTATAGTCTAGTCTATAGTCTAGTCTATAGTCTAGTCTATAGTCTAGTCTATAGTCTAGTCTATAGTCTAGTCTATAGTCTAGTCTATAGTCTAGTCTATAGTCTAGTCTATAGTCTAGTCTATAGTCTAGTCTATAGTCTAGTCTATAGTCTAGTCTATAGTCTAGTCTATAGTCTAGTCTATAGTCTAGTCTATAGTCTAGTCTATAGTCTAGTCTATAGTCTAGTCTATAGTCTAGTCTATAGTCTAGTCTATAGTCTAGTCTATAGTCTAGTCTATAGTCTAGTCTATAGTCTAGTCTATAGTCTAGTCTATAGTCTAGTCTATAGTCTAGTCTATAGTCTAGTCTATAGTCTAGTCTATAGTCTAGTCTATAGTCTAGTCTATAGTCTAGTCTAGTGTATAGTCTATAGCCTAGTCTATAGTCTAGTCTATAGTCTAGTCTATAGTCCAGTCTATAGTCTAGTCTATAGTCTAGTCTATAGTCTAGTCTATAGTCTAGTCTATAGTCTAGTCTATTGTCTAGTCTATAGTCTAGTCTATAGTCCAGTCTATAGTCTAGTCTATAGTCTAGTCTATAGTCTAGTCTATAGTCTAGTCTATAGTCTAGTCTATAGTCTAGTCTATAGTCTAGTCTATAGTCTAGTCTATAGTCTAGTCTATAGTCTAGTCTATAGTCTAGTCTATAGTCTAGTCTATAGTCTAGTCTACATAGTCTAGTCTATATAGTCTAGTTTATATAGTCTAGTCTATATAGTCTAGTCTATATAGTCTAGTCTATAGTCTAGTCTATAGTCTAGTCTATAGTCTAGTCTATAGTCTAGTCTATAGTCTAGTCTATAGTCTAGTCTATAGTCTAGTCTATAGTCTAGTCTATAGTCTAGTCTATAGTCTAGTCTATAGTCTAGTCTATAGTCTAGTCTATAGTCTAGTCTATAGTCTAGTCTATAGTCTAGTCTATAGTCTAGTCTATAGTCTAGTCTATAGTCTAGTCTATAGTCTAGTCTATAGTCTAGTCTATAGTCTAGTCTATAGTCTAGTCTATAGTCTAGTCTATAGTCTAGTCTATAGTCTAGTCTATAGTCTAGTCTATAGTCTAGTCTATAGTCTAGTCTAGTCTAGTCTATAGTCTAGTCTATAGTCTAGTCTATAGTCTAGTCTATAGTCTAGTCTATAGTCTAGTCTATAGTCTAGTCTATAGTCTAGTCTATAGTCTAGTCTAGAGTCTAGTCTATAGTCTGGTCTGTGGTCTAGCCTATAGTCTGGTCTGTAGTCTAGTCTATAGTCTAGTTTATAGTCTAGTCTATAGTCTAGTCTATAGTCTAGTTTATAGTCTAGGTTATCGTATAGTCTATAGTCTAGTCCATCGTCTAGTCTATAGTCTAGTCAAAGACAATATTTTGTTTGAGTCCAGAATCTAATTCAGATCCTTCAAAGAAATCTACTATTTTTTATTTTATTTAAGAAACGTATACAGGGAAGATAACCGCATACAAAAATCAGGATCCTAACGAAATATGTATTAAAGGTTCATATTTCGTAATCGAATTTTTTGAAATGATCTAAAAGTTGGTACGGTTAGATGCAAGAAATAAACATTTTCGAAAAAAATAATCTTCACCGCCAACATCATAATTTTAAAGGAGTGTTTATATCTCTTTAAAAATAAGATTAGGAAAATATTGAAAATAATTTCACAACTACATCGTAACCATTAAAGGATTATGCTTATTTTATAGAAATTATATTAGTCCAATATTTCTACTTACTTAATACGGGATTGACGCATGAACTGTTGAATTTTTCTGGCAGCTTGATTTTGCGTTGATTGTGAATAAGTACGTCTACAAATAAAGAAAAACATTTCATAAAATACTCTCCCACAAAGCCAGTTAACTACTCACTTCAATGGCCCCGAAGGACTAGTTTCTTTGGGTGTTGTACACGATTGAGGAGAACTTTCAGTTTCCTGTTTATTAAAATTATCGAAAAAGCTTGATAAGCATTGCGAGTTCGTACTATCCTGACTGTCGGTATTATGTAGACCAGCCAAACTACCGGATGCAGTCAAATGATTGGAAGTTTGAGATTTCTTAAAACGTTTATTACGACAATACGAACGATAACCATGTTGTATGACTAGAGCGGCATTTGTCATTTGACGATAGTAAGCGAATTGTTTGTAGCGTCTATAATAGTTCTGTATAACAATAGCAGCTGTGCGTTCCTTATTCTGTTCTTCCAGCTTCTGGCGTCCCTTGTAGGAACGATAGGCTTTTTGTATGCATTTAGCAGCCTCATATAGTTCACGTTGCTCGGTGTCTGTGGAGGTAAATTTGAATTAAGAAGGGAAGTTTTTAAATTAAGAATGATAAAATTTACCGGTTAAAGTTAACTTTGAAAAATCGGCCTCAAATGGATACTGGGTATTGCTAGAGGCATGCAAAAATTCTGTCAACTGTTTTGTTGAGGGCGGTGGACTGGGCGAAGAAACAGAAGGATCATGACCCAGTATAGAATAACTGGCTGGCGATTGTAAAGGTCCCGAACTGGCAGGACTTAAACTTGAGCAAGGTGTACTGACCTCATGGTAACGATAATTATGATCATTAAAATCAAAGTTAAATTCATTATCGAAATGAGCATTGGGCAATGAATCCAATAGGGGATCCATAAAACTATCATTTAAACCCGTTGATTCAGTGTTTAAAGTTTCTGTCATGGGACTACCCAAAACCATCATTTCATCAGCCTCATTCTAAAGTAAAAATATAAAGTAATTATATTAATGTGATTTTAATTTAAATAAATAATAAAAACTTTACCTTAATACGTTCTGGCATAGCAGCTATGATATGTTCAGCTAATGTTAAAACTTTAGCATCAGAATCCCCTAAAATGATGTGTAAGAGAAAAAAATTTAAACAAATCACATTATTCATATATATTTTAACAAAAATATCAAAACGTTAATTTTACAAATGTTAAACATCAAAAATACACAAAATTAGTAACATGAAACTACATCAATGTTTAATTATATAATAAAGAGACTCTTTGTACATAATTGCTAAAATTTTATAATTTATATGAAAATTTTAAAACTAAAAAAATGTATGTATTTTACATGAATAACAAGCTGCTGTTATGTAGTCAACTAAATTCATTATTTGCCATTTAAATTTTGCTAATGGAATTCTCCATATATGGATGGATAATAATGAAAATAATTAGACTCCATTTTAACTGAAAAAAGGATAAACTTATGTAAGCATTTTTTCGGTTTACAACATAAAAACTTAAAATTCCAAAAAATAAACGTTAAATAACAACGAATAGACAGACAGCAATAAGTATGTTGTAGATATTTATGAACACGATTATTTAGACATTTGATTACACGATTATAGCTTTGAATTTTGTTTGAAAATATTTACACATCAATATATAATTGCAAGTATGTAATGTATGTAATTTAAACTATGTATGAATGAAATTAACACAACTCATTGTATTGAATGCAATATGATTTTAACTAAAAATAAATAATCCATTTAAAAGACTTCAACAAAAATTAACAATAAAAATCACATCAAAAACAAATTTAACCATACAACACAAATATGTAGTAATTATTTTATAAATATTTAATTTACAATCATCAACGAATACCCATATAAATTGTATTCCCTAAAATGTTAGATTTTTTTAGCTTAAATACGAGTTTTTTATTGCATTATGTATGATTTGTTTAGGTTTTCGAAATTTTGCACAGTGATTTAAAGAAATTGGTAAAATTTAAAAATACAATTAATAACAGCAGAAACACTATAACTATCTTTAAAATCTTTAAAAGAAACGCAATTAACATTCCAAATCAAAGACCATTATCACCCTGATCCTGATCTATACTTTTACTGAAACAAAAGTGATATTAGTTATGCTTTTGTCGGAATATAATACGTGTAGTTTTTTTTAATTATTCATAGAAACCCTACTTTCGGACTGAAAATTTGAAACAATAATAAAATACAATGTTACATCAAGGTCCAAGCCTAAATATTGTACTGCATTAACAACGACATTTTCCAAATGGCGTTAAGCTAATCTCAGATGTTGTACTAAGAGAAACGAAAAAAATCTAATTTCAACAAAAAATTCGATCTTAAGACTTTGAATTCGAACATAATATTGCATTACCGTCCGATGTATTCATAAATGCAAATTTTCAGTCTAATCGCACTACGAAAACTGTTTTAAAGATCAAATTAAATAAAAGCTGCTCGAAAAGTTTAAAGAGAAATACTGAAAATCTCGCAGAGTTAAACAGAATGGAGTTTTTCGCTATTCATAAAGTTCCAGGGCTAGTTTTACACAGACGATATGGACCTTTTTGAAGACAATTAGACGGTAAGGACCAAACGTGTTCATTAATTGCTTTAAAACCCTTCGCCTGGGTAACAATCTTATCACGATGAGGGGATTACGTTTATTCCGTGGTTATAGTCTCTTTGAGGTTTAGAGTCACGGATGGCCGGGACTCTAAAGGAATGTATACATAATGGTTACTCGTACTGTCAGGGCTACGTCTAGCGATTGGTGATGCACTGCTACTTAATAGGTCAAAGATGATACTTCAAAAGCAAGCAGTTGAGGATTCTCGCAAGGATTGCCACAAAGATTTTAAAATGCCTTCTACCAACTTTACTTATACTAAGTCTAAACTGTTGAACATCTAGGAGATATAATGATAACCTTAACTGTATTCTGGATTAGGGACGACGTGAAGTGCCTACACGTATGATATTTAAGTGGAATTATAATATGAAATTTGCGAACATCAATTTGCTTTATATCCCTGACCGCTTGACAAAAGCTGGTCTATAGAACTTTAAATCGCCTTTCCCATTGGCTTTTAAGTAGCATCGCGGAGGAGAAAAAGAGCTGCATGTATAATTGCATGTCTGAATCGATCCAACGACTTCATCGTCTCTGAACGCCGACACTACATAAACCAAAAGAAAGCAGACTGGCTCGACTTCAGGGAATTTACTGATCGCATCTTCAATGAACTTCCAGCACCTATCAACGTACACAAAGCAGCAGCTTGCTTTATTCCTGCTGGTCGACTATCAGTAGTACGGCCGCACTTCCCAGCAGAGGCAGCGAGACTAGCAGATGAGTGCGATGACATTCGAAGTACGAACCCCGACGACCCACGTATTGTCCAGCTGAATCATGACATCAGCAGGTTGGTAAATGGGGACAAGCGGAATAAATGGTTAGATCATTTGAAGAACTGCAACTTAAGCCTAGGTGTTAGTAAGTTGTGGTCTACAGTTCGGTCTCTCTCCAAACCGACGACAAAGGATGACAGGGCCGCCATTAAGTTTGCAGATACCACTATATCCGACCCTAAACCGTGCTCGCGTGCAATTTTCCGGCTTTTTATTGACCACCCAGAGAGAGATAAGGCGAAACGAAGTGTTGTTCGCAAACTCCACAACCTTTTAGTCTCGGACATTCCACAACCCTACACCCCTTCCGAAGTTGCAGAGGCCATCAACACTGCCGAAGGCGATTGGCCCGACGGCATTTTCATGCTGAAATACCTTGACGAGCGGGGAGTTTTAACCTGCTAACGAGTACCCTGATAATACCCAATGCCTGGAAAAACGGTCATCCCGATAGTAAAACCAAGAGTCAATCCTACAGACCGATTTCCCTCCTATCACCAGTCGCGAAGACTCTTGAGGCGCTCCTAATCCTCCAACTGCCCAGCCATCTAACAGAAGAAGCCAGCCATTACAGGGCTTAAACCAGCAGAGGCCTTGTGAAAGGTCACTCCTAGTGGCGCTGTACTTATCGACGGCTTTCGATACAGTTAGCCAAACCACACTCTTCCAGGACATCCACCATGTCCAACAATTTGAGGAGATGGAGTGTGAATTATTTGAGTGGTTCAAAAACCCGTAGAGTTAAACAAGGAGTACCAAACGGCGGTGTCTTATCTCCCCAACTGTTTAACTTTTACTTCTCTAAACTTGGGTTACCTTGGACAGCCTGTTTACCTCCTCAGCTCATGCCACTGCAAACACGCACAGATTACAAAGTAGGCACAAGGTCCTCAAAGCGCTAGCCGGCAGCACTAGGGGAATGGTAAACGCTATACTCTTTGGTAGTGGAATCATAAACTCTAATCGAAGAAATGAAACCTTAAGGATACACAAAGTTAGATTTTGTCGCATAAACTTTTTTTGCTGATAGTTCCTTATTGAAGAGCCAACATTTAAAAATTGTATCATATTTATAAACTATAGAATGAAATGAGACCTGATAGTAAAAATTTGATATAACCAGATCTGGCCATATTTAAATCTTATAAAAAAATTTGCTAACAAACATAGATCACTGGAATTCATCTCCTAAGAATTTGTGAAACTTTTAAAAACTAATGCTCGGCATCTAATCGTTTTCTAACAAATTAAATTTCAATTAAAATCTAGTTTGACTATATAAAAATTAGGATATTTTATAAAATTTATTGTTGAAAAAATCTCTGTGCATTCGATTTTAAATTTTCCTCTTTTTTATATTTATAGATCGATTTCAATAATATAGGTGTTAGTATCTATGACTGTGATTAAGTGTATGATGAAGATAGTATTAGTAGGTGTTTGTGTAAATATGTATTAATGTATAAGTGTTAGTATCTCAAATTAAAAGCACACAATTTTACAGATAAATTGAAAAAAATAAACACAAATATTTGACACATGAGTGGGAGTGTATGTCAAGAATGTACAAAATATCAAGAATACTTTTTGTTATTATTCCATAATATTAGTTATTATTATTATTATTAGTAGAAGTAGTAGAATGTAGTAGATTTTGATGACTTTAGATTTAACTGACCTACAACAGCATCAATATTCTTATTTGGTATAGTTACATCGTCATTACAATCATCATTATCAATCGTCGATGTATCATCATCGTTATTTTTGTCTGGCAAAGGACTTGAATCACCAGTTGATACTTCGCCTAATTTTGTTAATAATTTTGAAACACACAGTAGGTATTTTTTTGGTTTAGAATATAAAAATTAAATTAAATGAACGGAAAATTAAAAAGAAATTAAATATATATATTTTTTGTGAAATTAAAGAAAATTAATTATTAAGAAAAAAAAAGTTTGGAAAAAATAAGTAGTGTAAAAATGCAGTGATTGAAAAATGGGGAAAGGGATAAGAAAATTTTAAATAATTTTGTTATATTTAATTTTTGTCAAACTTACACAAAGCAAAATCCATTTTTCTTAAAGGAGAAAGTAGGGAATTCGTTGTATTTGTGGTCGTGCCAATTGTATCCAGTGGTGACTCTATTGAATTGTTAAAATTGTCATGTGCATCAAGACTTTTTGGGGGAAAAGGAAATATTATTATTTGTTCAAGGTTTTTAAATATTAGCTCCTACCTGTGTAATCGTGTTATATCTTTAAATGATTTCATGGGTTTAGTTCTAATGTCCATGCTGATACCACTATCTATAGATGAACGTTTCGAAAAACGACTGCTATTAGGGGGACTTTGATTGCTGGAAATAAATACTAAGTAAGAAAATGTACAAAATCCATATTTGAGAGTTAAATTACACAGGCCAACAAAATTTCAAAAAAGTAGAAACCAGACACCAAGTATACGTGTTTTAAGGATAGAGTTGATTCTGAATTTGGACTCAGAATTTATCCATCACATCAAGTCGAGATATCGTGTTATAAAGTTTGAAAAACCCCCATTTTTGAGACGTTATAACAACGTGAAGACACCTTTATTTATGAAATCTGTTATGCCATCTGAAAGTCCAATATATCAACTTTAAAATATAGTTTATCCTTTTAGAGGGAAGAAGATTTAAACTTCTTTCCTTGAGATATCTTAACTTAAATATTGAAACAACTTTAAGTATACTTTGGTCCTGGTCCGGGGTAAACAATTTGTTGGTCTATGTTATCTAATCACACATATAAATATGTTTCTTGATTGTATAGCTTAAACAGGAGAAAAAAGAGGTTATGAGTGGCGAAGAACATCTATGGATCTTTTTATACTTTGGGCCCAAACTTTAAAATTTTGATTTTTGATGGAATCTCATATAGCTATTAAACTATAAGCTATTAAACCTTTAGTTTTCAATTACCTTGCCACAGCAACAGGCCTTAAAAATACACCATCATGACTGCGCTGAGAATCTGAAGATTCAAATATGGCAAATGATGGATGATCATCGGCGTCATCATTATTGAGCTGTCAAATTAAGTAAATCATTTCCAAATTAATTTAAAAGAAATAACATTATCTAAGTGACCATTAACTTACGGAATATTTATTAAGATTGATGGACAAACTAGTTAATGAGCCTTTATTTTGCTTGCGTTGACGTTCATGTTCCAAACGATAAATTTCCGCAACAATATTTTTGTGTCTAAAGGAAATTGTTAATAGATTTGAATAAGAAATAAAACATTATTAAAGCAAAAACAAAGTACCCCTTATTATCGGCCACATCTAAAGGAGTTTGTTGTGCATGATTTTTAATCTTTAAAGCATTTTGATTCCATTTATACAATAGAACGGCAGTATCCAAATGACCACGAGAACAGGCCCATGTCTAAAGATAAATTTTCAATACTTTTTTACTCAATTTTAATAATTTTCTTTCAACTCTTACCAATGGCGTATAGCCATGTGAATCCTGACTGAAAGCATCTATTTCAGTTTCCAAAATTATATGGGGATTTTCGCTACGCCAATTTAAAAGAGCACAAACTAATTTATTATAACCCAAAGCTGCAGCCAAATGTAAAAGTGTCATGCCTTTGTAGCCCGAATTCCAGGTGTTACTACTTGTGCCATTATTTTGCCAAGACATTTTTGTCAATTGATGACAATAACTGACAAGTTTTTCTTCCAGGTTGCCTTGTAGAGAAAATATTTGCTGTGAAGCTGTAACAGTTACTGCTTCACCTTTAGTCTGCATGGTTTCCTCAATGGTAGTAAGACGATTGTATAGAGAAAACTTGTAAAGACAATCATTGGTGTTGGCATCGAAGGGTGCCTCTTGGCAAGTCATCATTTTATATTCAAACATTACAGAATCAGATATGACAAAACCATCACACGATACCTGTAAAGTGGCATAACCCACTTCATGTGATGGACAATAGCAACGCAATACACCCTCTTGCACCAGAACTGTGGGCACTGGATGTGAATCAAACAATACCGTGTAGTGGGCATCTAAAGACCAGGGGCCAGCTACTAAAACTTTTACACCACCCTCTGGATAAGACCAGTCGGGACTGAAATCACATATTTTCATTACTTTTTTATCACAACTTGAACCCGGCGTTGAACCACTATCATATTGAGAATGTTGATGTAAATTTTGACATGATGAATTAATACTTAAAGCCTCATTTGTCACCACCCCAGAAACAGCTTGTTCTAAAGCTGTATTTGTTAGAGCCTGCTTATCGTCCAAATCCAATTCGGGAAATTCAACCAACATATCGAATGCATCCAAATTGGCAAAAACATCATCGGTATCTTCATCGTCTGCCTCAGCACCTGTGGATAATTCAGGTTCTGGTTCACATTGTACATTTTGTACAATATTAGCAGCGCTACTAACACCAGTAGAGACACCCGAGTTCATAAAATCAAGTGAAGTCAAAAGTGTTCCCTCACCTGGCATATTCGCAATAAGAGTTCTTTGTATATCTTCGTGTGATAGATCTAAGGTTTCATTGAAGAAACCCAAAGTATCGTGTAATTCGGTAGATACATGTTGTTGTTGCTGTTGGTGCACTTGATTGCCACCATGGTGGTTTTGTTCTAAATTATCAAAACAAATTGTTGAGGAAGTTGAAGTTGGGGTTGCATGTGTATTATGTTGTATATTATCTGTGCTTATATTATTACTGTTCTGATTATTTGTATTTAAGGGTTGTTGCTGTGGACTTGTGATGGAATTGTTGTTGTTGTTGTTGTTATTATTATTGCAATTGGAAGCATCTGAGGATGAAGTTGCACAACCAGTGGTATTTTTATTATTATTATTTATGTTACAATTGTTGTACTCATCTAATTGATTGTTTCTGTTGTTACTATCATTATTGTTGATGTTGGAAGTGTTTATGCTTAAATCGTTGTTATTAGAAGACATCTGAAAGAAAGGAATACGATTGTAACTTTATTTGCAAATAAATACTATACTGATTACAAACTAAATGAACTTTCTGGAATTTTTGGTAAGTTGGAAAGTTTTAATACTGGGTAACGAGATAATCAACACTAGGTTACTAGGGCTACACTAGGGCATGTGTTTAATAAAGACTTGTTCGGATCCGAAATAATCTAGGCCGCTATCGGGCCTGCTGTGCGCTACTTTTCATGGCAAATATTAACAAAAAAACGTATATAGCAATATATAAAAGGAAATATCGTCCAATATTCAGAAACTCAGTATCCCAAAGTTAGCTTCTCAAAATTTTCCAATCAGTGTTCTAAAGGGTTGAAATTTCTGGAATATCACCGCTCTTAAGCTATTTTGATGAAAGTTTATTAATAACAATAAAGTAAATGGTCTAAATTCGTTTAAACTCGTTCGTCCAGTTGTGTCTGTAAAACTGTGTGTCCACTAAGAATGCGTACCTTCATAATAGGCCTTGAGCAGATAGTATGAGAAGAAACTAAGTATTCAGGTAAAGTACCCTAATAACACACTAGTATGGAGGAAGAATGGACTTTGCTAAGAGTGTCATGCGAATGGTTTATAATCAACTTCTCATGAATTGCATTGTCTTAAATAGGTTATGGGAGGGAGGATAGAGAGAGTAGTGTTTGTGGACATTAGATTTAAATCTCTTAAATTACAAGCGACAGGAAAGGCTTATTCAACATACGGACAGTACGGCTAGTGATTGAGTTTTCCCTGTAATGCGTTGTGCTAATGAAGATTGAGTATTGCGTATAAATTTGAAAGAATCGGGAACGTGTTTCTTAATTTCAGAGGAACACATACCATTGTAATATCGATAGACCAGTAAAACACATCTCACTTTGCGACGGTGTTCCAGAGAATTAATAGAGTTGGTTAAGCTGCTGTATCCCTGTACGAATAAAACAAAGGTCCTCCCAGTTAGGGAACACAGTGTCATGATGACTAAATAGTTCCTCCCGGAATGTCATCGGATGAGTCATCCCAACTTTAACATGGATACTCCTCCCAGGCATGTCAGGAAGGATCTTCGTATATAGTATACGTGGAAAACATACGCAGATATGTGCAGGATGTATTAGATCAGTCCTCGAATACGGCAGCTTTGAACGACATTGATAGAGACGCCATAAATTTCGCGGTCGCAGGATACCGCATGAATGTCGTACTTGGATGTCATCCATCGCCCATAGCAGACACGGAAGAAAACCTAAGAACGGGATGGACAACTAAGAACGGGATGGAGTAACAGGCTCAATGCCTACTGGTCACGTATAGACCGTGCCATCCCCAACGAATGTCCTGCATATGGTCAGGGTCCTCATGACACCCACCACATATTCAACTGCTCAGCCAACCCTACTTCACTCTGTACAATGGATTTATGGACGCATCCAGTTGAAGTTGCCCACTTTTTAGGCCTGGACATTGATGTAGAACCCCAAATTGATTATTGTCTTGCGACACTTGAAATATGTGTTTAGACCAGACTTCGGAGTTACGTACTCCAATTATAGTTTCCAAGTAGGAACAAGTATATTCCTAATTAATCGAAGATGAAACCACCAGATACGGTGTCGAATTTGTCACTATTATGGAATGTTTTTAAAAAGTTTACGTGTCTCTACAAATCAATCCTAGAGTAGTAAGGATAGATTTCAGGTTATCCAAATCCATTTGGTCAAAGATATAAGCAAGCAGATGGAAATATGGGTTAGATAAGATAAGTCTCTGAACTTAAGTAGAGGTGACAGCGGTCATTGCTCTATTCGAAATTTCATTGGTAAATCGAACAAAATGAGGAGGATCTGCAGAATATTTCAGGGTCTTAAAGTTAAAGATTCTACGTTAAACTAGTAAGCCTAGCGAGAGGTGGTATTAGTAACCTACTGACCTTTATTAGGAAAACAATTTGGGCATTTACTTCTTTAAACTTTGATTTTATGCATTTCATTTGATCTTCTTATATTATCTACATACTTCTGACGATATGTAATTTCAATAAATAATATATTGTCTTACCTGTGCATTTTCAATATTATTATTATTGTTGTTATTATTATTACTATTATTATTATTACTGACTACCGTAGAAGTAGTAGATTTTTGATTTACGTCCATAAATGTTTGTGATGATGAAGACAACGATGATGATGAAATCGAAGATTGTGATTCGGATACTGAATCCGAAGATGAAATTATTAAATGTGTTTGTTGCTGTTGTTGATTGAGTTGAGATTGTGGTGAAAGACTAGAAGATGAGGAGGAGAGTTGATGTTCTGGTGACATACACATGGGTTCAACTGTTGATGAGGCAGCCACAACAGTATTAGATGTTGTAAGGGATGTTGATTGCTGCTGTTGTTGTTGTTTATGATGTTGTAATTTATAATATTGTTCTTGTGGTGTAGCAAGTTTTTGTTGCTGTTGTTGGTTTGCAGTATGAGAATTTAAAGAATTATTGTTATTGCTGTTGTTGGAAGTATTTAATTGCTGTTGATTGTAATTATTAAATTTTGTTGTTGCTGCTGATGTTGTTGTTGTATTGTTATTATTATTACAATTATTGTTGCCATTACTACTGTTCATGCCATTATTATTTATGACATTTAATTCATTTTGTTGTTGATGATGAGGTGTTGACATCAATTGTGGTTGACTTGTCGTTGTTACAATATTGGAATTCAAAGAAGTAGACGAAGTCGAATTTGTTGCTACTGCCAGTGGCGTTGTCGATGTTGTTGTTATTGTTTGATTTGCATGTTGATGTGAATTTGGGTTTGTGGTATTGTTGTTGATATTTGTGTTGTGGTTAATTTTATTATTTGTATTAGAATTCGTTGTACTCATCGCTTGATTTGAATGCTGTTGCAGGGTGTGATGAGAATGATTTTGTGTGTTCAACAAATCAACAGCAATTTCACCACTACTACCACCCACTACTAAACCACCACCATTATTATTGACTGTGATAGAGGAAACGGAAGCTAAATTATTGTTGTTGTGTTGCTGTTGATTAATTGTGTTATTATCCATTGCAGTAATTGTTGTTTTAGCTATTTGAAAACGATGTTGTTGCTGCTGCTGTTGTTGTTGCTGTTGTGATTGCATATTGGCATTGTTATTATTTGTAGTGTAACGTTGTAAATTGTTATTGCCGTTATTGTTGTTGTTGTTATTAGTATTGTGGTTGACATTATTATTATTTTGGTTGTGTACTTGATTGAAATTTGATTGATTTGTATGCATTTGTTGTTGTTGATGCTGCATAATTAAATTATTTCTCGATGCTATCAATTGTTGATGATTTGCTGCTGCTGATGTATTACTACCATTTGCATTATAATGATGTCGATAGTGCTGCTGTTGTTGTTGCTGCTGCTGTTCGTTGTGTGGCGGTATAATTTGAAATTTTATAGCGGACTCTTGTGTCAGCTGTTGAGTTTGGCCATGATGTCCATGACCATGATGATGCTGATAGCCATTGGTGTCCATGCTATTTGAGGAATCACGTATTGCCCGTTTATCCGCCCATCTTGAATAGAGCTTTAAATATACATACATTTTGGAAAGATTAGATGCTAATTGCAAATAATAAGGTAGATTTTGGAATGTTATAGAAATCTAATAGAAATTATAGTCAAACTTTCCCCAGCTTGACTCTGGAATTGGCCCATCTTGAATAGAGCTTTAAATACACATACATGTTGGAATGATTAGGTGCTAATTGCAAATAATAAGGTAGATTTTGGAATGTTATAGAAATCTAGTAGATATTATAGTCAAACTTTCCCCAGCATGACTCTGGAATTGGTTCCGATTGGTAATTTTGAACAAAATACTACAATGGCGGTGGTACTAATGCCTTCTTAATGGACCATGCGAATCTTCATATGATAGTAAAATTTCCAACAAGGACAAAGTGTTGTGAATAAGGAGTAAGGATAGAAGAATGAGTCATAGCGTAGCTAATCTATCGCATACCAAAAAAGAGGAAAGTTGTAAAAGATACTTTACGTCGGATTCTTTCTCAAAATCTGAGGCAAAGAGAAACAGATCTCCCGAAGACCTGAATATTAAAAACAAGTCCCAGAAACAAATCTCTTTCTTAAAATATACTGTTATAAACAAGCGATACCTTTCTCAAAGGACTCGTTCGTCAGAATCCTACCACAGAAGGAAACAATATCAAGGAATCTATTCTGAATGCGAGCATGACTGTCTCGAAGTAAGTGGTATATGGAAAAAAGCTCTTGACAACGCGGAAAAAGAAGCTTGATGCTGAAAATGGCGGAGAGCCGCCATCTTAAGACAGTATTCGCAAGAGAAGACACTGGGACTATCCTTGCTAGTGGAACACGAAATCGTTTCCAAGAGACAATCAATAGAGAGCATAAGTAGCGGGTTCAGCTGGTGTATGATGATCATAAGGTTCGCAATAAACCAATGTGCTTGAACCTTAAAAACTTGGTGGGTATTTTTTTAAATTTGGAAATTAGGACATGCTTTTGCATGATCATGTTCCCCGTAAAGATATCTTTCAGAAAAATATAACTTACCTTGGGACCAACAACAACATTTGGCGTATTACTGGCACTGTATGGTTCCACAGCATTTGTGGCTGGTAAACGTTTTTCATTGGTGGCCTTTATAAGACTCGGCCGTCGCATAACCGGATGTGTACAGGTTTTACCATCAGCACAGGAGGCATCACCACAGCCACAATCTAATTGTTTGACTAGAGCGGCTTGACGTGAGAGACGTTGTTTTTCCATTAATTGGCAGACTATGGATTCTACAGTTTCGGCAGTCTAAGAATATGAAAATGATAATAAAATCTGTTGATATCTATTATGTTGCAACTATAAATTACCGATATTTCGATGTCATTGCCAGAATCTGATTCATCATCTGATGTTACAGTGGATACTTAAAAGATAAAAAGTAGATAGAATTTAAGATAAATCTTGTAACAAGAAGAATTTATATTCTTATGGATTCTAGTTGGGAATATATACTTACACATTGGCTTTAGTTGACTAACAAGTTCCTCTTTAGTCCATTCCTTTTTATCGCCCCATAAACTAATGCTGGGAGCAATAACAGCCATTTTATTATCATCCGGATATGGAACATTTAAATAATGAACCAAAACAATATCGGGATTCTAATTTTAAACAACATGGAGGTTTTTTGATTAAAATAAAAATTTATAATTTCATTATAGTACCTGTAACAACCAGTAACATCTGCGATGAAATGTGGGCAATATGGCAGAATGTACATAACAACCATAGATGCACTGAAAACAAATTGAGAAAACAAACAAAAACATAAAAATGTTGTAAAAATCAAAGTATACAAAATAAATTACTATTTCTTTTATTGTTTTATTTATTTATATATTGAAATAAGAAAAACAAAAATATTTGTGTATTTATTATTGTTAAATTAAATTAGTTTTTTTTTTTGTATGAAATGATTTAAGTTCAATTACAACAAAAAAACAGAAACTTTGTAAAGAATAAAGAACAACCTCCAATTGGAACTGATGCCAACATACCAACCCTTTTTTTCTTGTCAACATCATCAACAATAAGCAACGAAAAACTAAGAAAACATCTTACAAAAAATGATAAATATATTTCTGATATACCGCTGTTTCGTAATCTAATTCATTGAACGAGGAGACCAACCCAGCGACCAACTCCTTCAGTTGTAATTTTCTATTTTTATTTTATTATTATTTTTTTTTTTTGTCTTTATTTCATATAAATATTAGTTTATCGCGTAAAAATATTCCAGACATTAGACAGACGCGTTGTTGTCTTAGCATTTCCGTCTTCAAACAAAACATAAATCTTAAAGATACATTTTTTTCGTTTGGGCTTTAGAAAGCCGAAAATCACAAGAAAAAATTCTCACAAAAAAGGCACCATTTATATCTACGTTTAAACATATTTAAGATAGAAGTTAGAATGAGTGTAACAAACAGAAAAAATAACAATAACTTCGAAAAAAATGGGTTGGCAAATATAAATTCATAAAAATTAAAACTAAAAACGAAAAAAATTGGCGTGAAATTACTTTGTTTTTTTACGATGGCAAAATTAGAAAAAATTTTGAAATATTTAATGACTTGCCGAATATTAGTTATATTACCAAGGTCTTACCCAAAATTACCGAATAACATAATTTTCAGTAACAACTATTTATAATCTACGTTACAGATTAGGTATAACCAATATATTTGTCTATGGGTTAGTCTATAAACTAGTTTATTATTCAGTAGACTAGTTATAGCATAGATAAAACAGTGGATTGCACTTGTCCATAGACTAGACTAATCTATAGATCTGGTCGTATACTAGTATAAAGGCTAATTCATAACTAGTCCTAATGCTAGTGCCAAGAATATTTACTACATTAGACCGGCCATAGAAAGTCAATTGGTGCATTCAAAAGTCTTGCAAAAACCAATAGCTTTTTGAAACTTTGCTCATTCTGAGGATACATATCGTCCTTCTCTCGTTATTAATTCAGCACTTTTTTTGTCGAACGGATTTGTATTCGCCAGGTTAATTACTTTTTTCGTTGCCGATTATTTACCTCTGGCAGAGAAGTCAAAATGCATTACCTGAACACCTGCCGAGTTGGCCTTATTTCGCGGTGGTACTTTTACAACCACAGGGTGAGCTAATTAGACGACTTAGCACCGCCCCTCTTGTGTATCTTACACGCCGGTAGCAATTTTTATACATGGTCCATGCGCTTGCACTTTGCTCAAGTACTCGAGCTATCTAATGTCTGACCATTGCTGCGCCGTTGCTTAACTCCCGAAACTGAAACACAAATCCATCAAATAAGCCGAAGACTTGTTCTTATTCACATTGTAGCAAATCTGGTATAAACAGAGTAAACTTGGTATCAATGGTATCATCACCATTCAACCCAGTGCATGTTTCATTCATCCGACATATTTATCGAGAAAAACGTCTAATACACTTACTCTATATATATCGATTGGTAAGGCCTGCATACTTTTACATACATCCCTTATACTTGAAACCAATTTATTTCCAAGGCTTAGTCCCACAGTCACTCCTCTGTGGGAGGATGTTGCCCCGATCTTATCCAGAATTATAGACTTTACTGTGTATAAGTATTTTCACCGATATTCTCTTCCTACGAATTTGGGTTTTAATCACAGCCACTGCGTGCACCACGTACGGTTCCCTTCAATAACCAGGACAAGACATAGTCCAAAACTCTGTTCGGTTCCCGTGATACCAGATTATGTGGTTCTTAGGTTCAAGCCCATATCAAATAATTCCAAGGAAAGACTGAGGATCACCAGTTTATAGTCCCGGCAAACTAGAGGTATTGGTAGCCGGGATTGCCAACAAGATGGGGGAAGCTCATCAAGATAACATGCCTTCGGATAAACCTCTAGGAGAGTATTCGGTTAATTCTCTCTTACAGTCCAATACGTACTTAGATTTAAGCTTAGCAAGCTGTGCAATGTTCCACTTGACCATATATGCGTTCGGGTCAAGTATACATTGATGAAGTGTCTTATAACCACCTTTTGCCATTTTTTCCAAAGTTAAGAGCCGATCAGATATAGGTGCCGCGTCATAAGTTATACATTTGTTTCAATTGTAGGAATATCTAGCAATGTTTCCAGAGCTTTGATTGATGTAGTGCTCATGGCCTCACTTATTCCCAAGCAGCATGCATGCTAATCTCACTAGCTGGTTATAATATTTTTGGTTCAGAGAATTCTACCTAATTAATGAATTACAATTAGTCTAATCGCGCTATATTACGATTCTCCTCATAGCGCCCACTACCGATAAACATGCAGTTTCTCCATTCTAATTATCAGCCAAGTATTTCATCTAGGTACCTAATTCTGTCGACCAATGGTATTTCCTTATCTAGGAAACAAACAGTTTTCAGTCTCAGCAAGATTAACATTCAGTCCTCTTGATTGAACCCACATTAAGGTAATATTCAGGGCCTATTTTACACAAGTAATTTGGATCCCTTCTCCTTAAGCTAGGAATTTTTGTCTTTCTTGTTAACATTCAGCATACTCGATTGAGCCCAGATTAAGGCGTTATTAAGGGTCCTTCTACACAGGTCTGCATAGCAGACAGGTAAATCCACTTTTAATAATTTTAATTTTGAAACCTAAAATAATTTGATAATTTGTTGGAATCTGTTTATTTGTAATATTTATGATTCTTAAGAATTTTGACCAGTATTTTACTGATTACAATGTTTATATAAAGAGTATTGCCTAATAAAGAAAGTACAATGTTCCAAATCTGGTAATTCCATTTCTTTTAAATCTTCGGTAGTACAAATAAATAAATGCAAAAACACTTACATCTAACATTTAACCCTTAAACAAAACAAAAACATAAAAAAATCGCAAGTGCGTGATATTTTTTTTCGACTAGTAATTCAGTATGTTTCCGTTAGGAAATCATAATTCATGGCATTTCCCCAAAAATTAAAACAAAACCTAAGAAAGAAAGAAAATGATAAAAACAGATAGAAAAAAATAAATGCAAAGATAAACAAACAAACAAACCTGCTCTCGTTCATATTTATTTAGAAGAAAACAAAAGGCAAAACAAATCTCTGCCACTTTTTTCATTCTTTCTACTGGTTGTAATTTTTTCTAATTGTATTCTTTATTAAGTCGTAAATTAATTCCAAAGAAAATCCTAATAAACGACGCTAATTTGTCGGTACTTAAAAACACTTAGGAAACGGCATGTAATGTAAAGGAATATGTATATCGGTTGGTCATTTTACTACTTACTTACAGAATTAAGTCAAGTATAGTAGATGGAGTAAAAAAATATATTAAAACATGGCTAATTGCCTTATATGTTCATATGAATTTATAATGTATGCTTAAAGTATTTGGTTAAAATAAAAAGTTTAGTATAAATAATGCTACTTTGGCTATTTATTTACTCACCTCAGTGCCTTGTACTTTAAGTTTCATGTGATCTTCTCTGGTAGTTTTGCCATCTTTTCGTTTTTTCCAACAGTAACCATCACGTCGATAGCGCACTTTTTTACGAGAATACAATAAAAGAGAACCACTTTTCGGCCTGAAAAGTTTAAATGGAATTTAAAATAATGTTTTAAATAATTTACAATATCGAGATGTTTAAGTTACACAAAAAATATTTAATAATTAACAAGAGTTCTTTCCCCATATTATTCCTATTTAACCAAATTTATTTCGGTGGGTTTAATATGGGTAACCAAATGGGCAAATTAATATAACAATTTCATTTTCAAGAGGACTGAGCTATGTTTGGTCCAACCAAAAGCCTATTAGGTTAGATTAATTATCCTATAGCTCACAATTTAAATAGAGCACTTGGAAACCATTTGGTCCCTTGGTTGGACGTTTTATTCCATTGGTTCCATTTGGGAAGATTTGTTAGTGACACATTCTTGAGAGAGTCCAGATCATGAAAAAGGCTTGTAGAGCGGGTAGTGATATTAAAGATAGTACAATAACTGTTACATGGGTATCTCATAAGATCTGACATACGTCCAATCATAAATCAATCGAAGTGTTTTACGTAAACGCCTTTTTGGCCTATTTTACGGTGGCACTTTTACAAGTACAGGGTGAGCTATTAGACTACTCACCACCGCCTCTTGTGTACTTAACATATACACACAGGCTACAATTTTTTGTATATGGTTCCACCGGTCCATGTACAAGCACTTTGCTCAAGATAGCTATGTAATCTCTCACAATTGCGTAACTTCCGAAATGAAAAAACATCACTTCAGTTTACTACCAAGCAGATGGGATGGTCTTAGCTGATTCATTGACGTAGTCGGTTAGTCGAAATACGAATCTATCAAATAAGCCAAAGACAAGTTCTTACTACACAATGTAGTAATCAGGTATGAATAGGGCCGAGTCGAGCGAATGTACAGTTTTCTGTCAAAGACAAGAACAGAGTATTTCTGTAGCTAATTCTTCGATCGCGAAACAGTTTTGATCCTTTATTTGCGGATTTGCTATCAATTTCATTTCAATTTAATCGAACACAAATCAGATCGAAACAGTGAGGTCTAAGTTAGGATAGAGATTGAAATGACATTTCGACGTTTGAAATGCATTTCGATATTATCACGTTCTAGGCCACGTGAAACTATTTACGTTGATGTTACTGGTCGACATCTCGAGATTTCGTACTCGGATATTTATCGCGTCCTGAAAAACAGTGCAGGCATTTAGCAATTTGACGGAGTCCATAAGACTAAGCTAGCGAAGAAAATTCGCGACCCAATTTTTAAACCGTTAGTTTTTACTGATATTGTGTCGTGCCATCGAAGTGTTCTTGTTGTTGGTATTGTAATTCGGAAGGTCCTCTCAAAGCCTGGTATGGGTCCGTATGTTGCAATAGATTCAGACTAACTACTTTGTGGTTAGATTAGGTTTAAGTCTCTCTTGCAAGAATAAAAATAAAAGCAAGCAAAATATCATGGGGTAATCTTAGACTTAAAGCTCTCATGGAAATGTAATGCTGAGAGTCGAATATCGACTTAATCACTCGACCACCAACGCTTAGAGTCCAAGATTATCCCATAGTATTTTGCTTCATTTCAAATATCTAAACTATATCATCTAGAACAAATTCAGTCTTGTCAAGTTTACTTCTACAACATCTTTTTCAGACTCATATGTGGGGTATGCGGGCTTCACTCATCCGTTTACCTGGAATAAATGTGTCGTATGTTTTTCTCTTATGAATGTGTTGGATGCATGAGAAGTGTGATGGGTTGAATGATGATAGATGAAAGGTATCATATACTAATGATACCATTGAATTTTCTTTCCTTGTCCAGATATGTTCAGAGTAAACTCTGTTCATATCAGAATTACCACAGTGTGTCACTGTGAGTAAGAACAAAGTCTCGGCTTATTTGATGGATTCGTATTTCGGTCTACCGGTTACTAGGTGCTGTTGCCGAATCAACATCAACTGCGTAGTTGTAAACGGAAGTGATGTTTTACATCTTGGAAGTTAAGCAACGGGGCAGCAACGGTCAATGATTAGATAGCTCAAGTTCTTCAGCAAAGTGCTTGTACATGGACCGGCTTAGCCATATACAAAATTTGCCACCTGATTTCTTCATTGAAGGTTGAAGGGGAGGTGGTGAGTCGTCACAAAGCTCACCCAGTGATTGAAAAAGACCACAGTGAGATAGACCAACACGACAGGTACTCACTTAAAGCACTTCGGCATTAACCCACCTTAAATTATACCAATCGCCTCAGAATCACTTTTGAGTCGATTTAGCTTTGTTCGTCCGTCCGTCCGTCGTATAGCCCCCACACAACCGTACCCCCCGAATAGGGCTTTTGAGTTCATAAATATGTTAAATGTTCTTGTATCACTTCAAAAATCGGCAAAATTTAGTTTTATATAAGTCTTAATGATACAGCTGATTTTCGTAATGATCGGGTCTCATTTGACCCTATCTCCCATGCAAAGTCCCCTTCTGAAAATGACTTGATGGTCAAAATTCACTTATAAACACTAATATTACAATGATATTCTGCATAAAAAACTGATGTAAACATAAATTCCTTTAGCAAAATTTATAAGGATAGGACCATATTAATCCCTGCCACCATATAACCCCTCTATTATAAAATTCCTTTTCTGTCAACAAATTGTTACAATATTTCTGAATTATGGTGCTTATATACATATACTGTCGGAAATGGGAAAAGATGAAGAAAATGTGTTAATTGTTATCACAAGAAATAGTACCCATTTTTAACGACGCACTTCTTATGTACTAACTATAAATAAGAGTTGTATTTTTAAATATTAATAGTGCATTAAAATAATTTATTAATCAAAAACAAATGTCAGTGTATTTGTGATTTTTTTTCTAATTTTCCATTACTTTTTAAAGACTTTCATCAAAAACAATAATAAAATGAATGACTCACCTTGTTTTAACTTCTTTGGACTGCCACTCATTGTGTTTATCAAAACTGATAAGAATCGCAGCGATTTCCTGAAAATATAAATAGAATATAAACAATTCTCTGAAAATATTTATATAGACAAATTAAGATAAAAACGTATTATTTATGACGTAAAGATAAATTAATAAATTAACTTGTGTTTTTAACTATAAGTTTTGTTCCCAAAGTTTTATAAAACGTTGAAATAGTTAAAACGAATATTTTAATTTTATTTATAACTAAACTGAAGTTTCGTCTGCCGATTTCCCAATTATATTTTATTTTCTATAATCATTATAATTTCTTTTTATAATTTTATTTTTCATGCACTTTCTATATTTACTTCTTTCAACTTCGACCTTGTGGTTTTTATTTTATATAAATCTTAATTTTTAATGTTTTAGGCTTTTGCGAGAAAATAAAAATGTGCTGAATTTTATAAATTTTTCATACACTTTTATGAAGGTCTTTTCTTTCTAGAGAATATTTATTGGTAAAGACGTGCGTAAACATGACTAACATCTGTATGTTATAGGCAAAAACATCATAAATATTTTTAAAATCTAAAAGATATACAAATATAAATATTGTATCGTTAAAATGAAACAAAATACATTTGAGTATCCTTTGTAGGAACACAAATCACTGAATCATTGAAACGCTGATTGAATCAAAAGTACAACTTGAATACTCACTGCATCTGTATTACACGGAAACGGAAATAGATTTAAAACATGTTTTACAAGTGTATTTTAGATATTTGATTTGATATTCTTAGATTTATTTATTTACTCCTTTTTTTTGGTTAGAAAGGACATATGACTTGAACGCACACAAAAAACCTTTATATTTTATGACACATGTATACAAGTGTGTAAAAATGTTAAGCACATACATTGACGAGATTATACAGTGCATATAAAATAAATAGAGGCAGTTATAATTTGTTTCTTTGGAGCGATAAGGATGTTTTAAATTTCAACAAAAATAACTTTTCGTATTCACTTTCTATCACAACTTAAACAACGAAGGCTTTCCTGAAAATCAAAATGCGCGATTTTGATTGAATTTTTATAATCTGAAAATTATAGGTTTCTGAACTAGAACTGAACTAGAACTGAACTAGAACTGAAGTAGAACTGAACTAGAACTGAACTAGAACTGAACTAGAACTGAACTAGAACTGAACTAGAACTGAACTAGAACTGAACTAGAACTGAACTAGAACTGAACTAGAACTGAACTAGAACTGAACTAGAACTGAACTAGAACTGAACTAGAACTGAACTAGAACTGAACTAGAACTGAACTAGAACTGAACTGAACTAGAACTGAACTAGAACTGAACTAGAACTGAACTAGAACTGAACTAGAACTGACTAACTGAACTAGAACTGAACTAGAACTGAACTAGAACTGAACTAGATCTGAACTAGAACTGAACTGGCAGTGCCTTGGCCCCTGATAAAAATTCGCCAAGACTTCTTATAGACATACTTAACTTGCACTATGAAATCGATGCATGTAAGATCGTTTATACGAAGACGGCCCCATTCTAAAAGAGCGCAGACTGAAATATTTTGCTACACGTTCGGGATTGCTTCAGAATGAATCTGATCAAATAAGTTGGAAGTACTGATGGGAATAAAAAGACTGTCAAAATTAGGAAGAAAATATGTTAAGGGAATGAGACTTAGAAAATGAAGTGTTCCCTTAAAACGATTTTTGCGGATCTCCACATAAATAAAAATTCTGGATCAGATGACATTCCGGCCCGGGTCAACATTTCCGCATGTTTGAAGACATCTTACTACTACAAACCATATTAAGGAAATGCGATGTCAGCTAGACTAAACATATTTTTCAAGTGTCGTAAGAAGTATTCAAACTGAGACAGTTTTTTGAAGAGGTGTATGACATACGTAACTCCACCTAATCTTCATATTATTAATATTCGATCGAGAGAGAATAGTCGTTAGTGTTGTAGTCTATCAAACCGGAGGTCGTAAGTTCGATGCTCACCAGAGAGAGGGTCAAAGGAGCGCATAAAAGGTTCGCTGGAGCCCTAGGTATATTTCTTCGGATTGAATGTAAGAAACATCCTACATCCTGGCTGGCTATAATGGGCGGCTACATCCCTGAAAATATTAAATTCGTGTATCCGAGAAAATAAAACAGTTAGTCCTAAAATATAGTCGGAACGGCTTTAGTATCAATTTGAATATTTAAGATAAAAATGGGCGGACAAGCCATAGAAGACGTGACACATCCTATATGAATTAAATACAAAAGATGTGTTTATCTAAGAAACTGTTAAAGCTAGAGTACTGAAATTTTGTACGAACAACTTTAAAATCTAAATCTTTAAAATCCAAAATAGGCGGATTAGCAATAGAGGGCGTGGCACCTCCTTGAATATACAAAATCTTATATTTAAAAAACTGTTAAAGCTAGAATACTGAAATTTTCTACGAACAACTTTAAAATCTAAAATTCAAAATGGGCGAATTAGAGGGGCGTGGCACCTCCTTGAATATACAAAATCGTATATCTAAGAAACTATTAAAGCTAGAAACCTCAAATTTTGCATAAACACCTTTGACATCCATGTGAACTTTTGTATATACGTATATCTGGGAAACCGTTGCAGCTGGAATCTCAAATTTTGAATGAGCAATATTCAAATGCATATGAACATTTGGAAAAAATACATAAACCTCTAAAACTCGAAGACTATAAAAGCCGCATTACTTCAAATAATATATACATCATATTCAGCTTTTACGCCTTGCTCTTATTAAAATATCACACACTGTTTTAACCACCACATTAAATGGGCATGTGATGTACGAGTGTATTTGAAATTCGCGACAATATGTCACTCCTAAAGTGGCTTACATAATGGACTACTACCACAGATGCTCACCAAATAAAACAAAAATAGGAAAATGACATGAACTCTTTTTTCCGAAAGCCAACGAATAAAAAAATGAACAAGTAAATCACATACATCAGCTTCTCAAAAAAACGCAAGTTAAATTATTCATAAAATACCCATGACTGCCAGCAAGAATAAAGCATCATTTATTCAAATTGATAAGTACAAATGGATTTTTACTCTTCACTTTTTAACAGTTACCAAAATTTTGTTATTTTTATTATACGATGGCAATTTTTATAAATATTAAAGCAATATTTTATTTTCTTTATTTATTATATAAAAGTTTATACATAACATTTTGGACATTTATACGTTATTAATTGATTAATTTTTATATAAGGTTTCAGTACCGAGACCAGATGAAAAAAATTAAATAACAACATTTCAAGTTAAACATTTTGCATAAATAATTCCAAAGACAATAAAAATAACTCGCGAGTAAAAACCAACATTGGACACCAAATGGCTTCTTATATGACACCTGTAAATTAAAGGATTGTGGTTTATTTCTCGGTGTCAGAGTGTGAGATGTCATGTGTTCTCTAGTAATAGTGTGGCTCAACCACATACACAGACACCCAATGGTCAGTTTAGATGCAGAATAAATACACTGGGAGGAAGTTAAAACACACATACTCATATACACATATACATACATATTTATGTTGTTTGTGTGTCAAGGAAAAACATTTCCACATAGTTACATACAATTTTGTTACTTTTTCTGCTCCTGTCTCTTGTGGTTAAATGAAAATTTTTAAATCATTTCCTGTCCAGCATATTTTTACCACACAAACGAAAACTCGAGAGTAATGGCTGGATATAAAACATACACATTTACTTTCATATATAACCGTGTATAGTGGTGGTAGTAGTTCTAGTTTGTAGGCAGAGTAATTTTTAGAGAATGAGTGTAGGAAATTGTAAAAATATTTACTTGGATGTTATAACAAATTTTCATTAGGGCATAAAATTGTTCATACACATACAAACACTTATACATTATTGAAGCCAAATTTTCCAAGAGAAGGAGTTTAAGTTTCTAGCAGTTTTGCCAGAAGACATTGTATCCTTTTTAGACAATATTTTCCTTAAATGTAAAACTACTACTAGAGAGCAGATTACTTAAGGAGTCTTAGGCTTATAGAGTCAGGTCAACTGAAATATAATCGTATAGATCATAGCACTATTGTGTTCTAATGGTTCAAATACTTTTGCCACTGAAGGCTCTTGGTCTAAGAGTCTTGCATCTCTCAATATACCCTCGACCGTAATAAGATCGAAATGTAGTCTTAATTACATTCACTTCCAGCCGCAACATATACGGCACTCAGTCGGATAATGGACACATGACACGAAGTATATTAATATTTCTTTGGATGCGTTGGCGAACACGATCGACAAATGGGCAACAGAAAAATCTAAACCCACTTGCAAAAATCCTAAATGGTATACATAGATCTATCATTCCAGAAAATGGACCTTGACTCTTTTGGTTTATATTGAGCGTATGAGCTAACCACATAACAGTTACTGCAGTAGATGCTTTGACGATAAGAATACTTGATAAAACATCTTTTTGTGACTGCCCTGCCTAACAGAGACAGATCTCACTAGTTTGCAATAGCAACCCCAAACTGCTGGGTTTTTATTTACCGAAATGTGTGGTATGATTTTTAATATACAAACAAACATATGTATAGGTATGTACTTAAGTATGTTTGGGTAAGTATGTGTGAAAAATATTTTCATGTACTTGCAGCAATACTTTTTATTATAAACAAGGTGCGAAAAACCGCTTCCTTCCGCGTGGTCTATGTGTGGTATGTGCACTTTAACATGCATGTAATTTTCTTCCTTTTTCCCCTTTTTCAACGCTCATTTTAGGGAGATGGTCAACATTTTTAAGATGACGAAAAAAAGGAATAAGTACACTTAAAGAATATAAGACTATGGAAGATGTTGCTGTATAATGAAAACGTAAATAGATGTTCGTAGCTCAATTATGGATTTTTATCGATCAATGACAAATCTATTCAAAAACGTAGGATGATATTCATTTTGAACTTCAAGGTTATGCTACAATATAGCGAGAACATTCGTAGAC